GATACCCATACATGCCACACTACCTGTTTCTTCAGAGGAGATGAGACATTTTCTGAAGATGGAAGATGGTGACAACTTTCCTTTGGCTTGGTAAAATCATTTCATTTTTGCACTATAAACCATGGATGTCCTGGACCTCTCCATGGGTGACAGTCTCTAGAATTTTCCATCCCTATAATCCATTGGATCCAGACGTTCCAGAGGATATTTGATGTGGGTTTTTTTTAGTTAGTAGGCATGTTTTTTTCTGATTTGATTGATTACAATGACTATTTCTTAAAGTCAGAGATAGAATGCAGGGTGAGGTTGTTCCTACATTCCCTGCATGATTGTCAATCCTGGGTAGCAACTTGAAATGTGCCCCCTTGGTTCTGTTAGATTTCTTGACAGTATTCAGAATCATTGAATGTGGTATCTTCTGGACTTTCTGCCAAGTTGGGAGTTTGAGGCACTGTTCTATAGTGAGTGGAATCACTCCTGCTTAAGCAGCCAATTCCTGTCAATAATTCTAGGAGGGCAGCATTCAAGTTAATAGCAAGTTCTTTGCTGTTTAACATCTATATGAAACTGCTTGGAGAAGTCACCCTTCTGTTGGAGTGAGGTATCAGTAGGCAAGCGACATTCAGTTAAACATTGCCATCTCAATCCAAGCTAGAAATTCTGTGGAAACCTGAATCAGTATCTACAGCCGTGATGGCAAACAGGTGGCACACAGAGCCATTTCTGACTCCCGCCGGTCAGCTGATTTTCAGGTCTCTGCCGTGCAAGTGGGAGACATACACACATGCCCATACTGCCCCGCCTCTCCCAGGAATCTCCACGCAGCCCATTTTGGATGCCAAGTAAGTACAGGGCTTGCATGGAGGTTCTGGGAGGGTGAAAAATGAGCCTACCAGAAGTCCAGAAATGGGCCGTTTCTGCCAGGGGAGACCGTTTTCGCCCTCCTGGAGGCTCTGGGAAAGCTTCTGGAGCCCCTGGAGTCTGGGAAGGGCAAAAAACAGGCCTACCGGAAGTCCGGAAATGGGACATTTCCAGCCTCCGGAGGCTTCAGAGAAGCCTGCTAGGCCCAAAGTGGGGCGCAGGGGGGTCGTGCGCGCCAGTGCAAGGGGGTGGGGGAGCGCAACGGGGGCACGCGCCTGCACAGGGGCAGGCAGCACAGGGGGTTGCATGCGCATGCGCAGGGGGACATTGCATGCAGGGGCATTGCATTATGGGTATGGGCACGTGCGCGTGATAGCACAGTTGCATGTGTTTTTTGCACCCGAGGAAAAAAAGGTTAGCCATCACTGATCTAGAGGCTGTATGAGTTATAGAAGATTAAATTAAATCCCAAAAATTAAATTATCGAGTTCCTAGTAATTAAGAAGCATCTGGGCAATACATTCACATTGGTAACTCTGGATAATATCATGCTTCCTCAAAGGATTTAGCTTGCAAATTGGGAATCCTTCTGGACTTGTAGTTCCTGTTTAAACAATAGGTACCCTGTTTCCCCCAAAATAAGACATCCCCTGATAATAAGCCCAATTGGGCTTTTGAGTGCATGGCAATAAGGCCAAGCGCTTATTTCAGGGTTCAAAAAAATATAAGACAGGGTCTTATTTTCGGTAGAGGCCATGGCTAGTGGAATCAGGTATGAGCCTACTTAGACCAAAACGCCCTCAAGATTTGATCACTACAGGTAGTCCTTACCTTACAGCCACAATTGAGCCCAAAATTTATGTTGTTAAGGGAGAAATTTGTTGTGAGTTTTGACCCATTTTATGACCTTTCTCACCACATTTGTTAAGTGAATGACTGCAGTTGTTAAATTAATAACATGGTTGTTAAATGAATCTGGGTTCCCCATTGACTTTCCTGGTCAGAAGATTGCAAGAGGTTAATCACCTGACCCTGGGACACTGCATCCATCATAATTGTCAGTTGTCAAGCATCCAAATGTAAATCACGTGACCATGGAGATGCTGCAATGGTCGTAAGTGTGAAAAATGATCACAAGTCACTTTTTTCCAGTGCTGTTGTAACTTTCAACAGTCACTAAATGAACTGTTGTAAGTCAAGGACTACCAGTATATGGCTGGACCTAGACTACTACAGTACACATGTGGAGCTATGCTAGAGATGACTTGGACCCTGCAACTAGTCCTAATTGTGGCAGCCAGAATGCTGATACACAAGCTCACCATTTCAGAATGAACCTATTGTTAAGATTGCTGCACTGGGCACTTATAGGCTTCCAGGAATACATTAGTATGCTAGTTAAGACCTATATAGTAATAAATGGTGCAGCATCAAAATGCATAAGGCTCTGTCTTTCCAAAGTTAAATCTGTCATTCTGCTCTGAACATGTTAAGATAGTCTATTAAGTATCCCTCCCTCCCACAAAGAATACTGGAATATGTATGAGATACCAGGCTTCCTGTCTAGTAGGCTCTATGATTTGGAACATGCTTCCACAATAGATATATTTGATCCCCTCCCATCTTTTATTTTCTAAGGCAATAAAAGCAGCACATGCTCTGGGTTCTAATTAGCTCTTACTGTTTTTGTTTGTTTGTTTGTTTGTTTGTTTTAATTGATTGGGAAATTCTGTAAATAATATAAATACCCCCCAGCAGCTTCCCTGCACATTCTGTACCAGCTGTAGTTTCCCAGTGATCTTCAAAGGCAGCCTTGTACAGAACTGAACAGTTCAGTATGTTAAGAATCAACAATACTTCACTGTACAGTTAAACTTCCTATTTGAAAAATAATGATCTGTTTGCAAATAATCCCTTAAAGAATGCTGTAATAGTGTTGATTCACTAAGTAGGTGGCTTGAAAGTTTTCTCCTTGCTCATTTTAAAATAAATGGGAGATGATATCAGGATGTCAAAAAGTCTGAATATCAGCAGAAAGGGGAGAAGACAAGAAACAAAGGAGTGTAGTAAGGTGAGAATTCTACTTAAGGGGAACCTCTTCCAAATCTGAAGGGTTATTGCTGCAGAAATGTCTCTGTAGCAATTCCTTTTGCACTGCTGGGGAGACAAAGTACATTGCACCTTTCCACAAGGCGGAGAGGGGTGCAAAGATTGTATATGGAGAGCCCCGTACAGTAAGGAGTTAATAGTTTTGTAGTTTATTTTGGTTAAATAGTTCTTTAAAGAACAGCATTAGCAGACATACCCAAATCTAATCTTTCAGTGATTATTTTGAATATTATTAAAAGTTATTATATAATGGCTACACATGTGCATTGCACATTTGACTATGATTTGATGAATGCACTACAATGGTTGGTGGCTATTCCAACACACTAAGCCAAAAGATATGATAGCTTCGACAATGGATGAATTTTGCTGGTAAGGTTGACACAAGCTTCAGGGATTTATTTTCAAATAAATATTAAGACTGTGTTCTAAAAATATTCTAACCACCTCCCCAATTACAAGAGGAAAGAAAATACTGAAGAACTTCAAATAGTCAGCCTATCTTGTGATAATTCTACCAAATTGGCTAAAAGCCCTTTTTTAATGTAAATGAACATGTGCAGCTACTGCTTGCTCTCAACGACAGCTAAATCTGATCCAACTGGTAGTATAAAATCAGGAGTCTATTTTTTTCTAATCAATGTAAAGCTCATAGATACAAAATACTTTGTTCTCCATAAGATTTCCTCAGACTAAACCCATCTCCCAGTCCCTACATGCCCATGCTGTTTTCTTGGCAGCAATATGGAAGTGATTTATCATCACCTTTTAACATTGCCACCTTTTAAAAATTGTATAGCCTACAGCCCTGGGAATTTTTGATAGCTTCTGTCCACAAATTAATTAATGATGACCCTGCTTGGTTTTCTTGGGATGGGAAGTGAAGGGGAATTAGTCATGTTTGGCTAAATGTTAGGGCTGTACCTCTCTCCCATTCTTTTTAGAAACAAACCTCCTAAAGCAATGAACTAAAAGCAGAGTAGTCATAAGAGACATACAGATTTCATGGCAATGTTGTACAACACAAAGCCATTTTCAATCTCACTTAAATGCGGCACTTCAAACCTCAGCTGAATGTCTCAATAGAAGCAGTGAGATACTAAGAGGACTTTTGAAACTGGCATTTAACAAACAGCAGGGCTCATAGTATGACCAAATGCCATTTCCTATATTAACTCAGAGAGGGTTTGCCTGTGTCAAAAGTCGTGTGCTACATTCCCTGAGTATGCTTATCTTCTGTTGAATACTGATACATTTGCTGCCACCTGGACTGCATTTTATTACTTTACTTTAGTGAAAACAACTCTTGTAGATAGAAGTACTACTGAAATCTGTCTCTTTAGATGCAGTTTTCCATATAAAATACAGAAAAGCTGCACACAGTTCAATGTTAGATAGGTGAAACTATATAAATATTTTAAATAAATAATCATACATACAGAGTAGAAATATGTATTATGTAAATGTCAGCATAAGTAATCTGTAATTAAAAACCATATACAGTATAGCTATATTTCAAAACATGTACATTTCTGGCCTTATATATTTCTTAAATAAATTAATTAAGATGTATGCATCTGAAAAGAACTTTAGGGTCTACCAATATGAAAGTACTTAATGTACGTTTTGGTTACAATAAAATGAGTAAGAGTACATTTTTATTCTCTAGAGAAGAAAGAACCAAAATTAGACTTGGTAGCAAACTGCTTTTTCATTGCTAAATTACTAAGAATAAATTATATCTCTCAACTTTGTATCAAAGTGTTTTAATATGGTACTTTATATAACAGATCAGGCTAAAACCATTTATCACAAGAAGTACAGCAATTGAAATAATAATATTTATGCATAACCTGAAATATGTAAAAATTGATTGAACAATAAGATATATTGCTTCCTGCACTGAAATATAATAATTTTCAGGACACTTTTAATGTAGTTACAGAATAAATAATAATAATGGATATTTACTGAATATCTTTAATAGAATTTAACTAATATAGACTGAATTCAATATCACAGTCACAAGGTAAATTATATTTTTTTAATCATAATAACCATAATTAAACAAAATCATATTTTAGTGTAATACATGAAGGCATTTATAGATTGATTTTATATACATTGTATGGGAATATATTTTATGACACTGAATTATATTTGCTTCATCTGTACATGTTTAGAGTTGTTCCCTCAAGTTGGAGGAAAAGTTCTACTGTAACTAATCTATTATCAAAAGATAGTTTAACTATTGGGAATACCAAATATTGAATGGTGATCATCTTTAATGTTTCAGATGCTTCTGATTTGATGAAAGAATTACAGTATTAAGCATGTTTTCTGAGTTCCTGTATTTTTTAGATTATAACATAAGCTGAATTTGTTGGTGCGTAATTTGCAAAAACTATGCACACTACATATTCTCTTAGAGCTAAGTTTAAATTGCAATTGACTTCCATTCATAATTTCAGGCCAAAGGTGACAATAAAATGAAGCCCATTGTCTCCTTAGAAAGACATCTAACTTATCCAACACCTTTCAACAGACTCTCTCAATGGTAGCAAAATAAAATTAGTTTTCAACATAAGCTAGTACGACACCAAGCTAATATGGAAATAATCTTAATTCATACAAATACAAATATTTTAAAACACTATTTAATCAGACATAACAGTCTAATCTACATATTGAGCAGGGCTACACATTATAGTACACCAAAAGCAATCACTTGATTAGCATGGCATGATAGTCAGCCCCATGTGCTGGAGTTATTACAGTACCTTTGAGTCACTACTACAAAAATAAGACTAGAAAATATTTCATCCTAGCATTGTAGAAATCAAGGAAGAATATGAGGTGATATATTCTTCTACTTCTAATTCAACATGCAGTTCAAAAGATTAGGAACAGGAGACTTTGCAATAATGAAATATACATTGCTATATCAATGGACAATCTGAGGCCACTTGCAATATGCCAGCATCCCATTTGCTGTTCCCAGAATTCCACTGCAGTTCACTGAACCAAATCAAAATGTTTGATGGGTGGTCCAGAGATGACATGTGCTATAGAGGCTTATTTTATCTCTCAACTTCTGCCTCTCTCTCACTCTCAAAATGGACTAATTTATTTTATTTGGATTCTTTAAGTCTTTGTGAGAAAAAGTGGTGAAAAATTGGTCCCATTCATTGTAATGACATCTTAATCCTCCAACCTCAGCCACTTACAAGGAAAATATAATGTGCAGCAACATGTGGAATAATTTTAGCATATTTATTCTGAATATACAAAACAGCAATGAGAATAAAGTGGATGTAAAAGAAACATTTCATCAATAATGTTGTATACCTCCATTTCTTCTTGTTCCCCCAGCAACAAATGTACACAAGATAGTTTTGCAAGTAATCATGTGAGCATGGCCTCAGTTTCTAGACATGAATATCAGTGTATCTCTGCCTAAATTTAGCTCCTAATGTGCACCTGGCTCTTTGCATCCCCAGATGGATTTCCCCCCCTTATTTGAATAAACAGAATAAAGACCAACTTTAAAAGTAAACTTCAAAAAGTTTCTATGATTGCATCCACCAACTGTTGAGAACTTATGTAGTAGTATTTAAAAAGTAAAGAAAGTGGATATTTTTCTTCCTTAGCCATATTATTAAAATTCAAGTCCTTCAGGACAGAATAAATGAAGTCCTTTTTTGCACGATGCGTAATTATATGGGATTAAGCATAAAATGTAGTTGAGGCTATTAGTTTGAACAGTATTAAAAAAGTGTTGAAGCAATATGTCCTAGAAGAATTTTAGAGCTACTTATTAGCTATCACTAAATTTATCAAACTTAACTGCTAAAATGTCAGTATGAATACATTTGGTGCCATAATTTTTCTCTTCTGGAAATGGCATAGACAAATATTGCTTGTATAATTCTGAAAACTCCATTTGAACACAGAAACTCATTATGAGCATAAGGGCACTACAATTTGATTTACTGAGTACAGTCTGAAATCAGACAGTTACAGGCTTGAATAGTTTTTTTAAAAGGCAAAATTACTTTCATTTCAAGGAAATAAGAACACTAATAAAATTCTACATTGTAGAAGTTAGTCATATTTGCTATTGTTTTGGATGGAAACAACTGCAAGACTGCAGTCTAAGTATTTATAAAACTTCATTCAAGGTAGGCCTGTTACTGGTGTTACGGATCTAGAAAAAGTCTGTGCTAACACAAATAGTGGTACATTTCCCCAATGTACTATATTCACTGAGTCCCTAGAAGAGGAATAATATTACCTTTGCTTTTCCAGTCCTACTTTGGAATAAGATTACCTTGCCTTAAATTAGGAATGATTGATTCCACCCATCTCACCCCCCCCCTCCATTTTTCTGGCCTTACATGGTTATTCCCATGGTTACCATTTCGGGAGGCTTTGTAGAGTCTATACTGAAGGCTTGGGTGGGGCTTGTGTAGCTTTGGGAGCTAAGTGTATGAATGAGACTGTTGTAGCTCCCCAGAGAGTTCAGATTTCATGTGTGTTTGAATGCCTTATATTTTACCTAGAAATTTAATCCCATTTTGACTGTTCAAATAGAACTTTGCTATAATGCTAAACTTACATTCTGAATAAAAATGGATAAATTTGCTCTATAGCTTTTCTAAGAGCACCAGATGATGTAGTGGTTAAGGTATCAGGCTAGAAATCAGTTCTAGTTCCATCTTAGGCAAGAAGCCAACTGGTGATCTTCGGTCAGTCTCTCTCTCTTTTTCTCTCAGCCTTAAAAAGAAGGCAATGGCAAACCATTTCCCAAAAACTTTGCCAAGAAAACTTCAGGACTTGACTAGGTAGTTGCAAAGAGTCACATGGACTTGAAGGCACCCCTCCTCCTAAAAAAAGTTTCATGTATTCATAATCAGGAAGAACTGCTAGATAAGTTTTTAATAAGAAAACACTCGAGTGCTATAATATTAGGAAATAAAAGCTTGCTATTTATTAATATGTAAATTATAATTAAGAATGTGCAAAATACATAATCAGGAGCATTAGACTGATCTAATCTTAGACAGTGAATCTCACCAGCCAGTCTTTTATGCTAGCTGGAAATTTATTGCCGAAAATGTATGTTCCCTTTGTAACTTCATAAAAAGTTTACAGTGACCTAATTGCAGAGTTGTTAGTCATTTGCTGCTGAAATCCAGATGCCTATCCTCCCCTTAGCCCTTCTGATATGAGGGGAGCATTCAACTGTAAATGGTCACTGGGAATTGGCAAATATTTCTTAATCTTTCAAAATACTAATGAATGCAATATGCTCTCAGAAGGAGGACCATAGATTATTTTAAGGTACCCATGGTATCACTGACTGGTCCACATTATTCAGAAGTTATTTTGAAGGGCAGCCGCATCATTTGGATTGGGATGTAGTAATATTTTATAAGATGGCTTTCTGTAAGAGAACCTTATAGAACTGCCTCATTTATTTTAAGAACAAAGTGAGTGCATAGGTATCAAAGAGCAGTGAACCATTCTCTTGTAGGCACTTGTTCCCACTGAAACACATTTCCCTTCAGCTTGTAATTCTAATAGCATCAGGGAGCTTACTGAGCACCAAAGTTTTAACAGTGGAAAGCTAAATCCAAGTCCTCTACTAAAATCTACAAACATACACAATAACATACCATTTTCACAGTGACCCACACAATACATTCACACAGCTGAAGATTTTGATTTCTCACAAATTGTATTCAGGACCTGTTTTCTTAAAATGAGGCTGAGTATATGCTTATACCCGATATCGATATTCCTTTAAGAATTCCTTCAATCTTGTTGGTAATGGAAGTTCCTGGATTTTACTTGTGTATCTGTTTATTGCTACTCTACACTGATGCTGTAGAGACAGTGTTGAATGATAGAGAGGTTTATTCAAATAAAGATGGACTGTTCCATTGGAAGGTATTTCAGAGACCATTCTTCTGTCCTTGCACATAAGGACATAATATTCAATTAGATGAACCACACTGTCAAATTGCTGGAGCCTTGATCGGATGCAGATAACAGAATCCAGACGGAATTTACCACCTTGAAATTCTATTCGTAAGTTGGTAGGACCTACAGAGGTTTTAACTGAAATGGTAAGTAAATACTCTGAGTGAGAGCTGTCTCTGACCAAGAAAGTCCCTTCAGATGTATCTTGTAATCTTTCCTTTGCTTCTGCAACATTCATGCTTCCCCAATACCATCCTAATAGAAGAGAAAGCAAAATTAGATAAGAATCTTCAGCATATTTTTAGACAGAATACCACTGGAAACAAAGGACTATCTGCACAGGAGAATTTTGATAAAAAATCAACATAATCAATGCATGAAACCCCAATGATTCAAATCTGTTAATATTCTAATACTACTTCCTAGGTGTCCTTGAATAACTAATGCAGTTTCTCATTTTTACTTTCTGCTTTGTGAAACATGAATACGAGCCCCACAAGGCCGGAAAAGATACCTTGCAAACAGAATCTGACATATTTATTTAAGAATAAATACCATTACACTTCATAGGGTTGATTTCTGAACCAACATACTTAGAGTTGTATAGTGTAGTACGAATACAGTATCAACAGGATTTAAGATTGCCCATTTTTCAATAGATTTTTATTAACAGCTCTGCTAAACAAACAAACAAACCCAACCCTATAACATTGCAGTCATCAAATACAGTGCAGATATGTGAAATATTAGAACAAGGCAAATTTTAGATCCCAAAGAACCTAAAATCAACACTTTCTTTTAACTCTAAAAAATAAGAGAGAAAAAACCTTTCATGTAATAACTGAAGTAGCCTGTCCAAGATGGTTGTCCCTACATGCATTAAAATACAACTAGGATCTCCTGGCAGGATTGAAATCATTTTTTTGCTGTCTATAACACAGTAGTAATAGCTAAAAATAATAACTTTTGCAGTGTATCCAATTTATTCTCAGAACTAAACACAAGACCAAATAGGAAAACTGTAGTGAAATAGTGACATCTCTTTTAAAAAGTGTAATATAAAAATTAAAATAATAAAAAGTCTAGGGTGAATTCAGCAAAAAGATTTTACAAAGAATTCTTATTAAAATTTGTGCTCACTATTCAAAACAAATTGACCTGTTTTTATTAACACAGAGATGTTTTCCTATAAGTCTTATGTAACTCTAGATTTACTCTTAGTTCTGCCCAGCATTTTACTAGTCTCTTAATTCTGAGGTGCTACTACTAGTGGGAGAACAAGTTCAGGATTATACAATGTATCTGATAATGAACACCTAATTGTGTTGGCTAATCTGAAATGTGGAAATCCAAGATGAACTGAAGTTGCAGCACAGTGCTCCAACATACAGGTCTGAGAAACAGCAGGACTTGTTTCTTCCTTCTTATTCCCAAAATCTTAAGCTATTATTGTATTCCATCAGAGAGGATTCTCTGCCTGCTTCCCGAGAGTTACTTTAACTCGGAATGACCATTACAGAAAAGTTGAAAAGCCTCCGCAGTTTCCAAACGCAAGAAAGGAACGAGGGACTTAAAACTTGCATCGTGGAACAACCTGTAGAAAAGTACCTAGCTAACCCTGCAGAGGTTCCCACGGAGGTAAACACATTAGGTTTGCGGAATACTTTGGGTTCGACCCGTCATCTTTCCACTTTCGAAGCGTGATCCTTTCGAGTCGTGTCTGCAGCCTTGTCCTCCACTTATGGATTCTGCTGGGCGCCGGTTTTTGGGGCTCCACATCTCAAGGGCTTAATGGCGGGAGTCTTTTTTTTACCTCACAACCCTATCAGCGCTGGGGATGCTACACAACAGAATCTCTCCAGTTCCTACGAACCCTGAATGCAGGGAGTGGGACAAGTTATCCCCCCACGGCTCAATCTAACCCCGGGTGCCCACTCCCCCGTTAACCGTTCCCCACGCTTGCCTTACCCGCGCATCTCAACTCCCTCATGGCAGAGTCCAGACGCTCCCCTTCAGCAGGTTCCGCCGAAGCTCCTCCAGCTTCCCACTGGGGCCCAGCCCTGTCGGTGCCATCCGAGGATTCGGCCGAGCGCAGGGTCATTTGGGGGCAGAGACCACGGCGTGAGGAGGAAAGCAAGGAGCGCCGGGCCCTTACCAGAGCTCCCGGCGGCTGCCCCAGCCCATCTGACCGCCGCCCGCAGGGACCTGCACCTCTGCAGGAGAACCAGGGCCCGGCGAGAGGTCCGTCGAAATCCGCCGCTCCGAATCTTCACTTACGGAGCATCCCTCGGAAAGGCGATCCGTTTGTTGCTGGGGTGGGCGAGGGGCGTCCGCTTTTCTCTGCCTCCTTCCTATTGTCCTGACTTCCCCATTGCACACGAGGGGCAATGGCACCCGCCGGGAAAGCGCCTCACCCAGCCGCCACCTGGCCGGGGATTTCGAGGATGGCTTATCGGCTGCTTCCAAGGTGCACGCCTTTCTCCTCCTTTCCTTTGCACACAGAGTCTGGCTGCTGTCTAGGAAATAATCGGTGGGCAGCCCCGGGGCGAAGAGTCGTGTGCACTCAGCCAAACTCTTACCTTCGGCCTCGCCAGCAAACGCGACAAAAACCCAGAAGGGCGGGATGCTGGTCTCTTTAGCGCGGCGCTTTTTAAACGGAGAGGCCGTTGGGAGGCTCGCCACGGCGACCAGCCCTGCTTTTGTTTCCAAAGGAGAGAGAAAAAGAGAAAGACCCCAGCGGCATCAGCTGCGAGAGGCCGGGCAAGTGTCCGCCGGGCCGGCCAGCTCAGGTTATGCTCTGCAAGAGCTTCTCCTACAACCCGGGGCAGGAAATATTCATGTGACGCGTGGACGCCAAGTAAACAGGAGCAAGGAGCCGCGGCCGGCGGGCGAGATTTGCTGCCTGGTGCGCGCCGATACCGAAACAACTCAGAAAAGTGGGGTGACGTGGTTGCATGTCATGACTGGGATTAGTAATGGCGAGGCGAGCGTTGCCCCCGTCTTTCCTTCGGTGCCATTTCAAGATAGGCTGAGCGAGCTACTGCTCGGTGCGGGGGTGGGAGGGGGAGAAAGAGGCAGGTTTCTGGTGCTTACAGTAATGTGGAGCGCCCCCCCTCCTTTATACCCCCTTGCCCCCCCCCCCCCACCGCCGGACACATTGCAAGCGGTCTCGAGGTAGCCTCGCCCGGTGTCCGGCCGTTTTTTTTATTTTGCTTTGCGTTTTTACTCGCGGAACGATTAAAAATGCAAAGGCCGCTTTCCAAGAACTTTCCAGGAATCGCGTCACGTGACCGCCGGCTCCCGCGCCTCCGCTTGAAATGGAGCTGCCGTGTTGCAGCCGCTCCTTCCTTCCCTTCCTCGCTGCCTTCCCCCCCCCCACTCCCCACCTCTTTCTTCGCCGGGTGCGGTGGGGGGGGGCGGGGGAGCGTCTGCCGTCCTAGCCGGGCGTCTTCGTCGCCGGAAAACATGGAAAACAGCCTCCGCCGAGCTTCTTTACGGAGCGACGCTGCTAGGTGCACGGACGGCTCTTGCTGCTTTACGGGGCTGCTGAGGAAGGCTCGCTCGGGATCTGTGAAGTTTATTCCTCCGGGATAGAGAACGTGAGAAGGGCGTGTGCCGCTTCTGGGGTGGGCACAAGAAGGGCAAGGGGACCTCTCCGCGAAGGGCGGACCAGGCTCTTGCTGCCCTACCGTCAGTCCCTGGGAGCGGTTTACTGCCTACATCCTCAGCCGCTTCCGAACCACCTACAATTAGCATGTGGCCAAGCATTGCTTCTAAGCAAAACATTAGGCCTGAAATAGCCTTGAAGGTTGGTTGAACCGAAAATTTAACGTGTCCATGAATGTTTCCAGTAATCCCACATTTAGGCTGAGGTGTAGCTGTGCAATGGGCTTTTTCAGGATTTGAATGTGATGCTGACTGGAGATCCTGGGTATTCTTGACCACAGGAGAAGGAATGGGGTTAATGCATATTATTATGCTTAGGGATTGAAATGGGCAGCATTTTAAATGCCTCCTATGTGTTAGATTACTCGATACAAGTAAATCCTCATAAACACAATGGATCAACTATATAATTCAAAACAATAGGCTTAGGTGATGATGACCAAGATTGATTAATGTTATGTTGACTAATATTTTTGACCAAAACTATTTTGTTCTGAAAATGATTTAAGGGCATTATAGGAAACAATAACGATCCTCTACTCTAAACATAGGAAAAGAGTATTTACAGAATACTCTTAGCCATGGTTAACCGGATAATGGTTCATTCAGTTATGGGTTTGTATGACATACTGAAAAATAAATTGACCACATGAGTTAGTTTGTGTAATAGGCTAAACTGAAATGGTTGGAAACACAGCACCTGAAAGTTTGGTTTTTTTGTTAGTAGTTGGATATGCTTTCACTGAGCCATCATTTTCTAAGAATGCTTTTGTTGCCATTTAGAACCAGAGGCATGTTTAAAAAGACAATTCTTTTTAAAAAATGAAGTTTTTTTTTCTAAATATAAAAAAAATCTGATGGGGCAGAGAAGCCTGGTGACTACACTGACATAAGCACACTGATTTCATATTGGCAATACCAGGGCTAGGGCATATCTATACATTTACACATAACTTATTTTAGCTCATTATTATACATTAATCTTTTTGTCTTAGACTACGGTAACAAACTGATGTCCATAATGGCTTTAATTAGCATTAGTATGATTTTTGGATTTAGACCTGTAAGAAGCATGTACCGCTAATCATATGGAAATTGCACTATATAACATTTTGTTTGGGGGCAAAAATTCAAAGTTCTTATTTTTATACAGTAATTCTCTGCCTTGTTTAAAGAAAAATCACAATCTTCAGTAGGGCTGATTATAGGGTATGATTAGTATTGAACATTTAAGGACCTTTATAAGTTGCACTGCAGATACTTACAGGAATCTCACTTTGTGTAAACATACTAGTTTTTATGATCTGGCACACATCAACAGTTGTGTGGTTGTCATGAATTCATGGTTCTTGGAGGCAATTGCCAATTGAGGCTTACCAGATCCGGGTCTGTGGCTCTTTTAAATGAACATCAAATACTTGTTTATTTAGATACACTTTTTTGTGGTAAACATTTGGTTTTACTGGTTGCTATATTTATCTTTTTGTTTTCAATAATTTTACTAATGTTTTCAATTATATTTATATTTTATTTTTAACTTTGATGTAAGAATGGTTACTAAGAGGGCAAGCTGCATATTTTCTAAATAAATAAACTGTACTTTTAAAATATTTCCCAGTAATTCTTTGAACTATTCTGAGAATTGGTTCTGAATTTTAATTTCTATATGCCTGTTAGAAGTGATTGTATTTAAACTCTCTGGTGTGAAATTGTTTCACTTTTAATTATTCCTTCTGCTTTAGGCTGAAAAAATTAGTAATATTTGGTAAGATTAAATTGTCCTTATTGAATATTTGTACATGTGAACATCTTAGTAAATATTTAGGATGCAGGTTTATGTTTGCTCTTACATATTTATTTAATAATAATAATAATAATAATAATAATTTTATTTCTATACCGCCCTTCTCCCGAAGGACTCAGGGCGGTGTACAGCCTATTTAAAAACACAGACAAAACAATGATATAAAATTTAAAATAATTAAATAAGTGGCTCAAATTTAAAACCCCAATAAATTTAAATACCCCAATTTAAAACTATTGTGTTGATAGTCTGGCCTGGCGGAACAACAGGGTCTTCAATGCGCAGCGAAACACCCGGAGGTCGGAGATCTTAGGAATTTCCGGGGGCAGTTCATTCCACAGGGCTGGGGCTCCCACAGAGAAGGCCCTCCCCCTGGGCGTCGCCAGCCGACATAACTTGGCTGATGGCACCCTGAGGAGGCCCTCTCTGTGGGAACGAACTGGTCGGTGGGAGGCTATTGGTGGCAGAAGACGGTCTCGGAGGTACCCGGGTCCTATGCCATGGAGCGCTTTAAAGGTGGTAACCAACACCTTGAATCGCACCCGGAAGATTTCTTAGAATCCTTTCTTTGACTTTGTTGAAATAAATATTTTCAGCTAGCTGTTGCAGATGTTTATTATTTATTACGCTTACATCCAGTTGCAGTCCAGTTAATGACTTCAAATGCTTGAAAGATAACTTTCAAGTTGTGCCTGATTTTCAGAGACTGCCTGGACAACTTCCTTCAGTTTTCTTTGCAAGGTTTTCAGAAGTGGTTTGCCATTGCTTTCTTCCTAGAGCTGAGAGAAAGTGAGTGGTCCATAGTGATTCACCTGGCTTTGTGCCTAAAACCTGGATTAGATTTCTTTGTCACTGTATGTGTCATTTGGAGATAATTGCATAGCTGTTGCATTTATACGTTTGTGAATGTTTGTTCTAGTTAGGGGGTCGCTCAAACAGCAAAGCACAAAACAAAGTTGAATCAATCCGTATGCACAATTCGCAGTTGGAATTTGGGAGATGTGTGCATCAATCCATCTGCATCCTGCAGCTATTCATGAACCCCATCACACCATAGGTATGTGATAGCACATACTCACAATTGCAGGCAACTCTAAATCAAGTTTTAGGCGCAACTAGGTTCATGGTTTGTAGCTTGATGCCTTAATCACTACAGCAAACAGGCTCTCATTCACAGATTTTATAAACACATAAAATAAAAATGCCCTAATTAAAATAAAACACAGTGGAAAAACTGTAAAATAAATGGTATCAGTAAGAAATGCTCTACAAAACAGTTCTGTTTTAAACTGCAGAAGGAATAATGGTGGGAACTAATCTTAATTTCAGCTGGAAAACCTCAAAGAGCCAAAAATGCCACTGAGAAGCAGCACTCCCTTCCTGGCTTTAGTCACCCTCATCTAAAAGGGAACACAAGTTATTTCTACACCCACCCACCCCATTCTTTTTATTGGGCCAATTCTAATTAGAGAATGTGATTCTGAAAGTAACTTGGTGCTAAACCATAGAGGACTTTATAGATTAAAAGCAGCACTTTAAATTGTACCTGGACAGTTACTGCAGTGGTGAAATGTAAAATTTGTTACTACCAGTTCTGTGGGCATGGCTTGGTGGTGGGAGGTTAATGTGACTGGGTGGGTGTGGCCAACTTTTTTTTTTACTTTTTTAAAGCATTTTTTTACAACCTATTTGGGCAAATAGGTTGTTAAAAATACTTTTAAAAGGTAAAAAAAAAGCTGATGATCGCATGGCACAGCTGTGATTGTCGGAGCCTTTTTTTTTACTTTTTAAAAGCATTTTTACTACCGGTTCCAGAGAACCGGTAGTAAAAAAATGCCTAAAAAGTAAAAAAAAAAAAAAAGTTCCAATGATTAGCTGAGCGACGCGCAATCTTCGGAACTTCTTTTTTTACTTTTTAAACTATTTTTAACTACCAGTTCTGAAGAACCAGTAGTAAAAAAATGCTAGAGTAAAAAAAAAAAATTCCGATGATTGTGCGTTGCTCAGCTGATCGTTGGAACTTTTTTTTTCTTTTTTTTTACTACCAGTTCGGGAGAACCAGACCTAACCGGGAGCATTTAACTCCTGAGTTACTGGAAGCCAGGGCACAGCTATCATGTGCTCCCAATCCCAATGCCAGAAATTAGCGAGTACACAGGCTGTTGCATGCTGGATTATTTGCAGTTTTTGAGTGGTCCTTAAATACAGCACATTATGGTAGTCAAAATGGGTAGTGACAATAGCCTGAGGATAAGATATAGCAAGAACTTCAAAGCTCTGATCTTCCTCCCTGTCTAGGTCAAATTTATACTTGAAGGCTAGTGAGAAGTCCAGATCCTGACAAAGGTAATCTAGAGTGCCTAGTGCCTCTCTGTCCCATCTGAGCCTGAAACATGACGGAAATACTTCATAAAATCCATTTCCTCTAGGGTGCTTCATTCTTGGTTCCCTACCGCTATCATTTCTAAAAAGGGAATATTGGAAACAGATCAGTAGTTATTTAATAGCTTTGTGTCCAAAGACCACCTAAGGAGGAGGCACATCTCACCCTCTTTTAAGGTGCTGACAGTACCCTTTTGCAGTTCTGTAAGGTATTGACTACTTCTTGGTATCAGCATTCC